CGCCACCTCGCCTGGCTAGTTTTTTGTATTTCTTAGTAGAGATGGGGTTTCACCGTGTTAGCCAGGATGGTCTCGATCTCCTGACCTTGTGATCCGCCCATCTCGGCCTCCCAAAGTGCTGGGATTACAGGCTTGAGCCATCGCACCCGGCCGAGAGTTTGATTATTCTATGCCTAGAGATAGTCTTGTTAGAGTCGGAATCTGTTTGGTGTTTTCTGGCCTTTATCTACCTGAATCTTTATCTCTTTCTCAAGCTTTGTAATGCTTTCTGCTATTATTTCTTTGAATAGGCTTTATACCCTTTGCTCTAGCTTAACTCTCTCTTGAACACCAACAATTCTTAGATGTGGTCTTTTGCATAATTTTCTATAACATGTAGGCATTCTTCATTCATTTTTATTCATTTTTATTCTTTTTTTCTCCTTTCCTTTTGTATTTTCGAAAGCCCATCTTCATGCTCACTGATTATTTCTTCTTCTTGATCCATTCTCTTTTGAGAGTCTCTAGTAAAATTTTCAGTTCAGCAAATGTATGTTTCAGTTCCAATATCACTTTTTGATCTTCAAAAATTATTTCAATCCCTTTGTTAAATTTCTCTGATAAATCTCTGAATTGTTTTTTGTGTTATTTTAGAGACCAGTGAGTTTTCTTAAAATTACTATATTCAATGCTTGGTACAAGTGTTCTCATATTGCCGTTTCATTAAGGTCTGTCTCTGGTTCCAACTTTGTCCATTTGGGGATATCACAGTTCCCTGTTTGCTCTTGCTTCTTATGGATATTCATCTATGTCTTTGTGTTGAATGATTCCATATGGCTTGTTGTGGTTTATATTGAGTATATTTGCTTAAATATTCTTTGTAATTTGCCTGTTGATTTTTTTGGAGAGGGGCTAGGTTTCTGCCTCCTTGTTAAGACTACATGGTGCCTTAACCCAGGTTTGCCTTGGTTCTAGTAAACAATTAGAGTGCCACCCATACCAAATGGGGGAGCTTCCAAAAGGGATAACCCAGTAGTGTGGGAAAACTGACTGGGAGTTCCAGCCCAAGGGACCTATGCAACGAATCTCCTATAGCATGATGCTGCTCCACGGTCACTATAAGTTGGCATCTCCTTTGGCCAAGTAACAGAGCAGAGTTTCTGGTACTGGGGATGGTAGTCCTGCCTCCCCACTTTGTCTCTGCCTGTCCTCGTTCAGGCACCCTTGATGCTTCCCAAATGTTAAGGCAGGGGCAAGTTTCCTGCCGGGGAATTCAAGCTGGTGGGGAAGCTGGTTATCCATCTTGATCTCACTTTTTCCAGTATAGAAATGAAGTTTCCATGCCCTTGGGTACCAGGAAGATTGCCGGGAGAGGCCTCATGGATGTGGAACTCTAATTCTATTATCGATATGGAGTTTTTTGTTGATTTTTCACTTTTCTGTGGCTGCAGGAATTGTCTCCTCACATTTGAGTTCTGGGGCATTGCTGGTGATAATCACAGCACTAATGTTTTGTTGTTGTTTTCTGTGGGGGACATTAAAGCCAACTTACTTTTATGCCATCATTTTGGAGCCAGAAGTCTCCTAAATGTCTTTATTTTTATTTTTCAGGTATGATGACCAAACATAAAAAGTGTTTTATAGTTGGTGCTGCTTTAATAATAATAACTAATATTTTTACTGTATGTGTAGGTAAGTTACATCCTTTATTTTATTTTTCATGACTTTCTATGTATGATCCTATTCCTTTCTGTCTCAGTCATGATCTTTTCTCAGTATCTCATTATCTTCCCATTATACATGATAACATTTATTTGGTACAAATGAATAAATTTTATTAATTACATGACCTATGTAAGGCATCAGAGATACCAAAATTATTGTAGTAAAATTATTCACCCTGATAATCTCACTTCTATTCAACACTTTCTTGCCTATGTTAATCACTATGTTGACTCCTATTGTTATAGGTTAGTTTCGTCTATTAAAAAATTTTATACAAATACAATCAAATGTAAATACATATAAAATACAATATGCAATTTGCATGTATCATAAATACAATAATGAATTTGTATGTATCTTTGTATCTTTTTCCTTTTATTCAACATTATGCTCGTGTGATTTTTCAATAATAGGTAGCAGAAGTTCATTAACTCACTATTATAGAAAAAGGTTGAATTTTTTTTATGAAAAGACCCAGATGTAAATATTTTATGCTTTTTTGGCCTTACGGTCTCTGCTGCAACTACTTAATTCTTCATAGAAACACAGCCATAGAAAATGCATAGACATTGACCATGACTGTGTATCAATAAAATTGAACATGGAAATGTAAATATTATAAAATTTTATATGTCACAAAATAGTGTTCCTTTTTAATTATTTTGATTACTTTCTTTCTTTTTAAAATGTAAAAGTTATTTTTACCTGGTGGTTGTACAAAAACAGAAGGTGAACTGAGTTGGCCTCAGGCTGTATTAGCAGATGTTTCGTGTAGTGCATTCACTGCTATGTATCACTTTTGATGAACATTTGGATTGTGTTACATTTTGACTATTGCAAACTGGGTGGTTTTGAACAACTGTATAATTTTATATTTTTTGTCTTTTAATGAATACTGGAAATAACTTGATATATACTTATAAGAAGAATTATTAAGCACGAAATATGCATAGATTAACTTAAGTGTATTTTACCAAAAATAGTAGATAATCTCAGCAGAAGTTGCCAGTTGCTCCATGCCATGTCAATGCTTTATTGTTGGTTTTATCAGTTTTTACCATTCCAATGAGTGCATATTGTTACTCGATTTTGGCTTTAATTGACGTCTTTCTGATGATCAGTACGGTTCAGTACCTTCATAACTGCTGTTTGTTTAGGTGTAATATTTTGTGACTGGAATGTTTCAGTACTTTCCCTATATTGCAGTGAGTTAGCTGTCTTTTTCTGCTTGATTCGTAAGAGTTGTTCAATATTCTAGATGAGACTCTGTAGTTTATAGGTATTGCAAATATCTTCTTTAACTATGAAGCTGAAGTTTACCCTCTGTATCATGTCTTTCAATCAACAGAGCTTCTGAATTTTAAAGTAGTGTAGTTATGTTTTTCCCTATTGTCACTACATTTTTCATCCTATGAAATTCACTTTACTTCAAAGACATAAAAATATTTTTGTAAGGTTTCTATTTTCCGTTCACTTTCCAAAACATAATCCTCTTGAAATTTATTTTTATAAATATTAGAAGATAGATATTAGGATGCATTATTTCCCATTTAGTTAAACTTTCAACCTGAAACAACTTATTAAAAAGACTATACTTTCCCTATTTAACTGCAATTGGTCTTTGTCATCAATCAGCTGTGTAGGTGAAGGTCATTTTTGCTAAAATTTTATTATATTAACTTGCTCTATTTTATCTATCTTTGTGTCTATATCATTCTGTCTTAACACTGTCAGTTTATAATAAGTCTTGATGTCTGGTTGTTTAAATGTTTGAAAGTTTTATTTTTATTCTTCAAGTTTACCTGGAGCATTTTAGATCCTTTAAACTCCCATATAAATTATCTATAATTTTGATTGAGATTGCATTAAACTATAGTTAATTTTCATGGAGCCATTATCTTAATATTGAGCCATACATTAAAAATATTAATTTAGTGTTCTATAATTTCTGCCAACAATTTTTATAGCTTTCATAATAGATTTCACACACATCTTTTAATTTATTTTTTAAAGACTCGATACTCTATAATGCAATTGTAAGTAACATAGAAGTATTTTCATTAACCTTATTTTCCTATTTAGTCTGTTGCTGGCCTATAAAAATTATCTCTATATATTTAATATATACCTATATAAGCCTCATATAGCAAATTTGCTATAGTTAACTATTCATTTTCATAAATTTTCTTCAGTTTCTTTTGTGGGTTCTATGTAAAAATTTACATTATCTGAAAATAATAATTGTTTTACCTATTCTGTTGGAAACCTTATGCCTTTTTTATTCATTGTATTCTCTTATTTTACTGGTTATAACTTCAAGTACGAGGTTGAGTGTAAGTAGTGACAGCTTACATGTTTGTCTCATTCTTAAATCAATAAAGAGGTTTTTAATATTTCCCAATTAAGTAGTAGCATTTGTAGATATTCTTAATCAGATTAAAGGTGTTGTATTTACTTCCCTTTAATTTAATTTAAAATGTCAAATGCTTTATCTTGATCTATGGAGATACTTTCTTTTCTCTGCTAATATGTAGAACTACACAGAATTTGTAATATTAAGATAATCTTCAATTTCTGTGATAGATTCAACTTGATCATAACCTATTAACCTTTTAACATTCTTCAATTAAACTGAATAGTATTTTGTTTAAGATGTATGCACATATATCTTATGTCTTCATAAGAGATCGACCTATAATTTCTGTTTCTTTCAATACTATTGTCAGGAATTGATGTCATTGTGATGGCTTCTAAAATTTGATTGGAAAGTATTCCCTCCTATCCTATTTTCTGAAAGAGTGTGTGTAACGTTGCTGTTATGCCTTTCCTAAATGATTAGAAGCATTTCTAACTGAGGCCATCTGGACAGGGAGATTTCTTTTTGTGGAATTTTTTAAAATTAAAGATGCAATTTTTAACTAGATATAGTATTATTTAGAAATATTGCTTTTATCTTGTCAGTTGTGTTAAATTGTGTTCTTCTAGAAATTTCTCTACTTTTTCATTCTTTGTGTTGCTAATTTGTGTTTTTATCTCTCACTTTTACATTTTTTAAAATCAGTTTTCATAGTGGTCAATCTTGTTTTAGAGTATTCAATAAAAGTCATCTTATGACTTTAAACTTTTCTTCTATTTGGCATTAATTTTTTATTCCATTGATTTCTGTTCTTTTTGTTTTTTAAATTGTGTCTTTCTACTTTGGTTTTAATTTATCACTATTATTAACTTTGTAAGGTAAGATAATTACCTTTTCAAAAAGTCTTTCATCATTTCTAAAACATAATCTGAAGCCAATGAATTTTCCTGTAAGCTTTAAGGGAGTTGCTGTGTCCCACAAGTTTAGTTGAATCCCAGAAGTTTGGATGCTACTGTGTTTTGAGATCATTGAAGATACATAGGATTTTGATGTAAAAGATTATGGTCACAGCAAAATTTGTATATCTAACATATAACAGGTTGAAAAAATTTCATGTCTTGTCATGTTAGGTCAAATGACAGTAGTTTAGGATTTATTAGGACATTTATGTTCCTTTCAACTTCAACTTCAGTGATATATCTTCCTGGAGGCACCAGAATTATTCTACATGTAAAGGTCATCCTTACCATTTCTGGGTAAATGAAATATAATGAAATCATAGCATGATCTAAGGGTAACGCAAACACTAATTTATATTAGTATATGAGAGAGATATATACACATATGTGTATATGTATATATATATACCCTTATATGTACACATACCTATATACATATATATACACACGGTGTATGTATATAAAATTTTATCTTCTATAGACTCTTGGCACCAGATGACTATAGGTGATAATTTAATTATTTTGCCACTGTGCTCCACTGCCATCAGCATTCTATTTATAACTGGTAGTTGGATCGATGCCTTTAAAGTGAATTATGTTTAAAAAGTAACACCATATCTCATCCTCAAGGTTCTGTTTCCTTAGAATTATGTTTGGTACCAAAAACTGATTCAGTCTGGGTGTGTTCCAAAATACAAACACATATTATGAGAATAAGGCTTTACTATAGAAATTAGGGATAATGTGAATGTGGGAACATCTAGAAGTGATGCATGGCTGAAGGCTGGGGCTGTGCTACAAGCTGGATGAGAAATGGTCACTAAGAATATTGGCATAACACACTAACACATTTGGAGGAACGTCTAAGAAGCTAAGATATCTAGCTGCCAAGACTGCAACAGGGCAACACATGGAAAGACCTGTGAAGTTCCTATGCTCATGGTCTCCAGGAATTATACCTTCTGCTTTACTTTCACCTTCCAAGTCCCCTGTGAGTTCCATTCATTGGCTAACCCAGAGCTATACAGTGATGGTGATTCTTAGCTGACAACGAGCGGTCCAACTTATTTTGTATTTTGCTTTATTATTTTTGTTGCTTCTTTGTAGATTAAATCATGTATTTAGATTCATTGGTGACTAATACAAATTATTACTTGGATTACTCTTAGTTAATGCTTGGACTTCCTTTTATTTCATTTACCCAGAAATGGTGAGGGTAAGTTACACAAGTAGAATAATTCTGGTGGCTCCTGGAAGACCTGTGTATCACTGAAGTTGAAGTTGAAAGAAATATAAATCCCTGATAAATCTTAAACTACTGTCATTTGACCTGACATGACAAAGATATAAATTTTTTTCCAACCTATCATATAATGGATATACAAATTTCGTAGTGACCATAATCTTTTACATCAAAAATCTGTGTGCAGTGATCTCAAAACATATTTTCAGTAGCATATTATTCTATATGGCCCGTAAGATATATATTTGTCTCATTTCCAGTTAAACTAACTCAAGATTCTCAGAGTTTTTGCCCATATGGTTGGATTGGTTTCCAAAACAAATGCTATTATTTTTCTAAAGAAGAAGGAGACTGGAATTCAAGTAAATACAACTGTTCCACTCAACATGCTGACCTAACTATAATTGACAACACAGAAGAAATGGTAAGTAATTTAATATACATTCTTTGTGAATTTTCTTGAGTCAGAACATTAGAAATATTCAAATACCATCATAGTCTTAAAGTCTTTTCACTCATGCCCATCTATGCAGAATATTGAAGGTGTTCAGAATATGCCATGTGACACAAAGGTGAAATACCTAGTGATGCTTTGTTTGAAGAATGTAAGACTAACATCAAGTAGTAGACTTCATATCTATCTTTACATTTTAAAGAGTGTACACAGAAGAGCTTCATAATGTTTGAAAACGTTTTAAGAGCCAGTACTCCCCCAAGAAAGGAGAATTGTCAGAGAAAGGAGGGGATTCTGCATTCTATCTCCTGAGAGAAACTTTCCTCTGACTTCTCCATTTTGTTTTGCTGCCTGTCTCTGAGGTCCCATGGCAGCTCCCATTAGAACACTCTCTACCAGTAATGCAATAGAGAGGAAAACCAAAATTTCTGCCTAGACCAGAGTATAAGTTTTCAGTGAGCAGATACCATGTATTCTCTGAAATTTTTTCCTTAGCATTATTGTGCAAAGCAGGTACAAATGAGAAGTCTAATGGATCCTTGTTGAATAAATTTTGATTTACATGACAAAATCTCTATGAGTAAAGAGGCTCTCCAAGAACTTTAACAAGGGATTGAAAAACTGCACCTCTGCATTCGTGAAATTTGTTCTTTCCCCTAGTCATTTATATTGTAAACATACATGCTTACTTACCTTTGTTTGGTCTCTTTAAGAATGAAAAGAAAATATAAGAGGTAATATGACTTGATTAAAAATATTTTTTGCAAATAATTTGCTATTGAGAAGTGTTTCAATGAAAAGCAGAATAGCACAACAGTCGACATTGTTAAAAGACAATTGTGGTGAACCCTCTGTGGTGAAGAAAGTTTATTTATGCAATCTGCCTGAAGATTGGTTCAAATTTAAATGCATGTGAATCAGGCAGAGCCAATTTATAGGTCAGTGAAAGGAAACAAAACTATTTTGCAAGAAACAAAAGGTAATAAAATGTTGAAAGCTAGATGAATTAGGAGTAGATATTGCAAATCAAGAATTAAGGTGCAAGCTTAACATCATAGGAAGGGCTTCTGTAGTCAATAATGTCGCTGCTGAATTTTGCAGGAGTATTGAGAAATACTCTGACTGTTCCTTACAGTTCCTCTTGGTGGAAAGAAAGCTAAACTAGCAGTGAGATGGAAAAATAATGAGTGTTAATAAAATGAAAGATGAAGAAATGTAAAGACAATCAATATTAAAGTAAATATATCCACTGTAGGAATATTGTCTGCAAAGATTGACTAAATAAATAGTGAGGATCATGAAATGTGAAGACCAGAAGTATATAAAAATAATTAGTTTTGAACTTAAGAGAAATCTTCAAATCTATCAAGGAAGAATGCTTGTACTGTCTGGATGAAGAAAAAACACTGATCATAACATATCCTGATATATTTTGAAGATCATGGATGACCATATGTACTACATACACTGGCAAAATTTAAGTGACGAACAGAATGAAGTAAAGCTGTCTGTGGAGTGGAGAAGAAATTTGCATAAGAATTTTAATAGATGATTTAAAATAGTTTAATTTAAATGTGAACTTTCATTACAAAATAATATGAGATAAAGTTTGTCTTACAAAATATTTTTATATCTCTTTCCACCTATTTAGAATTATTGCACTTCTAACAAGGGGCTAAAACGGGGCGAGCTTTTACTGAGCAAATAATGTTAACATTTTTCATAGAGCAGGACTAGGAAACACATCTCCCAGTTCTCTGTCACCAAGACCAGTCAAGCTCTCACCTGAAGCCTTTCCTTTCCTGAAGTTCTTTCCTGAGTCTAGCCTATGAATTACCCTCTTCTCCTTGGCCATCTGCATTTACACGGAATATTCTACTCTTGCCTTAGAGCACATCCTGTGTCAAAGTTTCCCTTAAAAACTCATATGTTTTTTTCTGTAAGTTCCAGTTCCACATTGTATTTATCACACTCGTAGCTTCTCCATATCTAGTAGAATATTTTCTAACATTATGTTTACGTTACTTTCCTGTAAATGAAGGCCTTTGAATGTAGGACGGCGTTTTTATTAATCTGTTTATTTGTAAAGCCAAAACTTAGCCCAACTAATTTTTTTTCTAGTTTACACAATGCTGTGAAGATAGTGTATTAAAATGTCAACAGTTACAGGTGTAACTTTTGTAAAGTTGGGGTAGATAGGATTTGACCATAGCGTTGTGATCTGGCCTAACTCCTTTATACTTATCTTAAATTGAAAAGCAGAGTGATGCAGTGTGAAGCTTATAGTTTCCAAGCTGTTTAGTAGCAGAGTAGCCTCCAGGACTTTAATATAACTCTATGATTAAAGAAAAAGGTCGAGGGTTAAGCAAGGGCGAGGTAAGTTAAACAATGCATCAGCAGGAGAAATGTCAGGAAAAAAGCATTGTATTTATTTCTGAATTACGTATTTGGAAATTTAAATGTTTAGCAGAAAAATAAAATTTGATAATTAGGTTCTAAAGAAACTGGATATATGAGGATGTGTATGTGTGTGTATTTACATGTGTAGTTTGGGGAGATAAACTGAAGTAAAACATAACACTAAAATGAAGCTACTACTATTTACTGGGAAGTGGACAAATAGTATAATAAATATCTGGTAATTGGAAACGCCGTGCAAGAGCTCAATTTCAAACTTGGCTTTCTAGGAGCTTACAGTTTGAAAACTGAGAAGGAATAGATTTTCAAATTGAACATTTATCAATTTGGAATCATATCTAAAGAAAATGTGTCTAACATATTTGTTTCACAAAGAAAACTGAAGGTCATAGGAAAAATAAAGTACTTTCTAAAAACTCCATGGCTATTTTCTAGTGAAGCCAGGAGTTGAATAATTGTTGCCTTGCACTTCACAACCTACAGAACAAGAGGTACACAGTAGGTCGTGGTAAAAATTGGCGTGTATGGTTTTGAAATTAACTTTGTCTCTAAAGAATTTTCTTAGGCGATACAAATGCAGTTCGGATCACTGGATTGGTCTGAAGATGGCAAAAAATCGAACAGGACAATGGGTAGATGGAGCTATATTTACCAAATCGTGAGTTTATTTTTTTCCGGGATCACTTAAATTTAGATAGTGCAGCCTTCTCTAGGACTTATGCTTTAGCTAAAATTCTCCAGAGCCCAAGATTTTTGCACATGTTAGAAAGATGGAGGGGAGATTGAATATATATTGAGATTCATTCAAGGAGGCAACCATGAAGGTTGGAAATTAAGATATAAGGGAACAGATCTCCTAGTTGGCTATTTTGGAAATAAAGACCTGAGATTGATACACACAACTCCCCCCACCCCAATTGAAACTTTCATCTGATAATAAACTATCTTGTCCAATTATATGACTCTTCTTTAAACTTTTTGTTGCCTATTTTCTGATGTCTTTTACAGTTCAATTTCAATTCGATGTTCATTTTAATCTGATTTTATTTGCAATTTCGCTATTATGCAATTTGTCATGGGCTTCATATCTTTAGCAATATAATTTGGAAAATGTGTGTACACATCCCAAATGGTGACTCTAAGTCACTTAGCCACTTAGTTTATGTTAGAGTTTCTCAATAGAAACACTACTGATATTTTGTACTGAATACTTCTCTGTCGTGGAAAGGGGGCACTTTTCTTTGTGCGTTGTAGGGCATTGGCAGCATCCCTGGATATACTGTCCACTCTGCTTGACTTCTGCCTCTGCTTGTGACAATAAAAAACATCTCCAAATATTGTCAAGTGTCCCTTTGTTTGGAACCAAAATCACCCCTAATTGAAAACCATCGGTTTATGTGAACTGGTAGCTCCACTGATTACATGTAACCAACCTAATGCCAGTTTAACATGTACAAATTCTTGGAAAAGAAACTCTTTTGATCCAAATTAGTATAGGTATTTCAACACTAGCAAGAGAGAACTGTGTGACAGCATACCTTTCAGCACTTTAGATAAGTAGAATTTTTGTTTAAAGGTGTCGGTGGGCAAGGAAGAAATCACATGACTCCATAATGGTTAACCCCTTTGTTGCAGGTTTGGCATGAGAGGGAGTGAAGGATGTGCCTACCTCAGTGATGATGGTGCAGCAACAGCTAGATGTTACACAGAAAGGAAATGGATTTGCAGGAAAAAAATACACTAAGTTAATGTCTCTGATAATGTGAAGAACAGAAAATAACATTATTAAGTGTAAACCAAACAAAGCATTTTTTTAATTAAACAAAGGTGAAGTTTTGTACCTGTCTGGTTAATTCATGCTTATGCGTCATGCTACACATAAAAGCCACTCCAAAGATTGGCAAAAAATGGTTACAGGTATTCTGCTGAGCTGCTTTCTTTCTTTCTTTCTTTCTTTCTTTCTTTCTTTCTTTCTTTCTTTCTTTCTTTCTTTCTTTCTTTCTTTCTTTCCTTCCTTCCTTCCTTCCTT